GGTTCATCATGTGCACCATGGCAACGGCCATCACACCCCTGAGGAGATGCACTTACCAATGGCGACGGCGAAAGGATGCAGTCGAAGGCAGGAGACGTACTTGCCTGCCAGCGGAAGCATCGTCCCCAGAAGAGACGCAATCAAAACAGCAAAAATTGCCACAATGTGGAGCGCAACGCTGTATTCACCTTTGGAGGCGGCGCAGGTGAGCTCGGGGCGGGTAGCAATCTGTGCCGTGTAAGCCGGCGGCTGCAAAGGCTCCATCCCCGCCTGCATCGAAGCACGACTTGGAAAAAATGCACTGCTTTACACGGTGCCGCTGACCTTGCCGGGGAAAAATAGGGTGGGTGCCGCAATAAAAATGTGGCTTTCCTTTTTTTTTTCTCGTTTCTTCGCTCTTGTCTCTTTGGCGGCGGGTGGGGAAACAAAAGCGGGTCCGTGGAGGGAAGACGCCGGAGGTGAGTAAAAACGCCTGCACGCATCGCCCGCGGGCCACGAAGGCACATTCGCGACGGCACCACACAACAACAACAACCAAAATAAAGACGCACGTGTGAGTTCCCGTCGCTCCGCGAGGCAAACACCCCGGCGCCCACTTGAAGTGGGCCGCCAACCAAAAACAGGCACAAAAAGAAACAAATGTACCGGTGGCATGGTCCGAAAACGGGGCAGCCACCATCGCCGCACTTCCCACACCCCACGCGTGGCAAAAAGAAACATGGCGAGCGAGTCGCCCAAGTAGTCCGCACCCCGCTTTTACGCATAAAAAAAAATTTGGAAAAAGGCAATAGGAGGGAGAAGGCAATTCATATTTCCCCTGCTCGCCCTCGCCCAACAGAAATCCCGGGCGACCTCTGAGTGCCGACGCACTAGTGCGTGACGGCTCAAAGGGTGAGGTGCTAAAGGCGTCGCGTCACTCACCCGTCGCCTCCCGCACGGGGAGGGTTGGGGGCGAGCGGGCACTCGCAGCACTCGCGGGGAAGGTGGGACCGAGCGGGGAGAAGCGAGCACACTGCACCAATTCAGCACAGTGTTCTGGGGACGTCCTTATTATTATTTCGCCTTTTTCTCCGCCTCCATTACACCGTTCCATTACATTCATTTCAGGGCAAGAGGCAAAAAAAAATCTACATTCAAAAAAAAAAATGCCTCAAAACTCGTTCACTTTGTTTTCCTACACCCGCATGCATGCACGTTCCACCCCCCTCCCCTCGACGCGCCCCACTGCCCACCGCAACGCGTCGGAGCAGGACACGCGGCTAATGCCAGTTGGCAAGAACAGCCATGGCGCCCGTGCCCCCCCAGAAGGCCGCGAACATCGCGCACCGCTTCCACCCAGCGTGCGCCGCGGTCGGCCCAGCGATGCTCCGCATGTCGGCCGGGAAGTCCTTGAAAATCAGAGAAAAGGCAATGTACAGCAGCATGCCGCCGCCCAGGGCGTTCACCACCCCCTGCAGCGTCACGAACGCCGGGCCAGTCATGGAAGTATTTGTCCCCGCCACCGTGATGAGGCCAATCGCGATTCCCAGGGGCACAGAGAAGGAAAAGATTAGAGTCATTGCCACCTCGACCAGTACACTCATGGAGGCCTCCACCAGCCGCGAGCCCAGCGCAACTCCCTCCAACAGCTGGTGGAACGACAACGCGATAAGCAGCGTCCGCATCTGTGTGTCGCTCGCAATGCCCACGGAAAGGCCCAAAAACACACTGTGCGAGGCCAAGCCAAACTCCATTAACACTGCGGCGGCGACACGCCTCGCACTGTTGAGGCGCGCTGCCGCAAGAGCCCCACGATTCTGGCAGCACCCCCCGGCTTCACAACTCGGTCCTGGTCGATCTCCGCACCCCTCCACACCGCATGCGCCCTCACATTCACAGCCTTTGTCCTGCTCCCCGCTCCTCACTCCAATAGTTGTCGAGGTCTGGGCGCCAGCGTCGCAAGCCGACCAGCTCTGCAGCATGCCATCCAAGACGACATCAAACAGATGCATCAGCATCGCCGCAAGCATTGCGAAGAGCAATGCAAACGCGTCGTATGTATTTGAATTGAGAGCCTTGGGCACACACCCCTCCGAAAAGCTGTGTATGCTGTGAAGAACCATGGTGAGTAGGGAAACCGCCAGCACCACACCAGTTGCCGCGCACTTCCCAACGACAAACAAAAACGGGTTCATCTGCAGGCACGGCACGTACTTCCCGGCAAGTGGGATCAGTGTCCCCAGAAGCGACGCAACCAAAAGAATAAAAAAGCCCGCCACGTGCAGTCCCACCGAGTACGGCCCCTTCTCGCCGCTGCACCCGCCGTGGTGATGGTGGCCCCCGTGCACGGCGCCGTCACTGCCGTGCATTCCATGGTGCGCGTGGCCGTGCGAAGCGTTCATTTGGCTCTCAAACAGAGGCGCCAAGTGCGGTTACGATTGCGAAGCCCAAAGAACTGACCTGTGTCTTGTGAAGTAATAATAATTGATAATAAAACGCCAAGCAAAATGAAAAAAAAAAAAACATCTACGCCCCGCTGCAAAACACCCTCCGCACATCTCTCTCCCCGGCCACGTGTG